AAGAATGGAGACAAAGCCACCTCCTTTTTCTCCTCTCTCTCTGATCAAATTAAAATTCTGCCAGTTCAGGAAGTTTTGAAGAGAATGACAGATGTTTGGATGCCTCTTGCAGATGTGGTTTTCAGATAGCCACACCTTTTTTCCAATCCTGAAATCCTTGAATACTCCATGGCTCTAACTCATGGGAGTTATAAGCCTGGGAAACTAAAGAAAAAATCCTACAGTGACTTTCCCAAGACAGTAAGTCACATCAGCAGCAAAACTGGGGAACAGACCCTAGGACTGCTGCCTTCTGCAAAGTAATTTTGATCATTTTAATGAATTCTAGGCTGTACAAGTTACAGATCCCTTACAAAGAATCAAAATCATTCGATCCTATTGAAAGACTCACATGAAATAAAAGTTGGTGGGGGAAGAACCATCCTCCCCTGCACATGAGCATCCCAGGAATGGAAACTGAAATCAGCTGCCTCTCTGCTGCCTTCTAACAGCCAGTTCTTGTGTGCTCTGCTAGCTCCATGACACGCTGCTCCCACGAGCAGTCCCCCTTCCAGCTCCTTCATGGAGAACCGCACATCTTTGAAGAAATGCTCGGCCTGAAGTTTCGCATCTCTCCAGATGCCTTTTTCCAAGTAAACACGAGTGGAGCAGAAGTTCTGTACCAGGCAGTCGGGGAGCTGAGTCGGGCTGGTGGGGACACTGTCCTCCTCGACGTCTGCTGTGGAACGGGTGAGCAGTGGCTGTGTGAGCCTGGCTCCCAGGCTGGTTCTTTGTGTGCCAAAACTGCTCCCCACTATCTAAAGGCTTATTTTTTTTCAGCATGGATGTATGGAATATTTTTGTATCCCTCATTTCCAGGCACAATTGGTCTATCTCTGGCTCACCAAGTGTCCAAGATTATTGGTATTGAGATGGTGGAGAAGGCAATAGAGGATGCTAGGTGGAATGCAGCATTCAATGGTGAGTTCAGACTTGCCATGGCAGAAAGCTTCAAACTGCTGAAGCAGAAGTGAGCGGAGGGATGCTATGCTAATGAGTTACCTCCATGCAGCAAAGGGTGGTACTTCATATTATACCTAACATCTGGTGAAGACCAAGTCTGCTCAGTTCATGTGGTTGCTTTTTGCTTCACAGGAATTTCAAACTGTGAGTTTCACAGTGGAAAGGCAGAGGCCGTGTTACCACAACTCCTGTCATCGTGGGAAGATTCCCGACCCCTTGTTGCTGTTGTGAACCCATCTCGGGCTGGGCTCCGTGAGAGAATATACTATTTATTTTCATTTTGAAAACAGAGAATTTTGAGCAAGTTCTGTGAGACTTGTTACACTGACTCCAAACCCTCTGCACGCTTAGTCTCTACTTTCTTACTTTGTTGCTGATGCCAGCTAAAATCCCATAGGGTCTGCTGTTTTCAGTGCCTTTATCATGCTTTCTCTTTAAAGCAGACAGCTCTGATCTTTTTTTGATCTTTCATAGGCTCACAAAATTATTTAGGAGAGAAGGAGACTCTGAAGGTCTGTGGTGCAATCTCCCAACTAAAGCAAGGCCAACTTCAGAGTTGTATAAGGTTGCACAGGGCTATAAAGTTCAGTTAAGTTTTGAATGTGTCCAGGGGTGGATACCCTCTCCTGTTTTCCCTAATATAGTTAATAAGTTTTCCTCTGCTGCAGTGTATCTATTGCCTCTCATCCTCTTCTCATGTTCCTCTGAAAACATTCTGGCTCCATCTTCTCTGTAATCCCCAGAAGGCCCCTGAAGATAGTGAATGGATCCGTGCTCACCTTCTCTTCCCCACCCCTCACACTGTCCTTGTGCATGCCGTTCCCCAGCCCTCTCACCGTCTTAGTGGTCTCCACTGGACATGTTCCAGTGTGTACTAGAAGTCTCAAACTGGTCCTGGTGCCCAGCTGTGGTCTCACAAGTGTGTGAATGGAAGGTTTTTCGAGCCTCTGCTTAATTGAGTAACAATTTTTCTCTCATCCTTTGTCCCCTTGGGAAGCAGAAGGATTTCTCCCACTGCTTTACCGTACCAAACTGGCTGAGCTGTTAGCAGTGTGGGTTGCATCCCTGGCCTCCTGAGAGCCTGCATCTGAGACAGGGCATGGCAAAATGTGTATATTCTTTTTTTCCTCGTATTTTTGACAGTTCAGTGCAGTTCTGTGATGCTTGCTGTGCCATCATTCCTTCTGGAGAGCTCCTGGTGGTGGTGGGTCACTGGGAAAGCATGGTATTTGTTTTTGCAGATTACAGGGTTGTGCGAGCCATCCGAAACTGCAAGTCCATCCGAAGGCTGCTCTACATTTCCTGCAAGCCAGAGGGTGAAGCCATGAGGAACTTTCTTGAGTGAGCACCCTCCTCTCTTCCTTTCCAATGACCTTAGTGACAGACCCTGTGATGTCCAGACAAGGACATAAATATCTGGCCTTGGCTTAGGGAGGTTTTTGTTGTGACTGAATGTCACTGAGTGAGTTCTGCAGGTGTGATCCAGGACTAGTCAGTGCATGGTCAGAAGTGGTTTGTGCTTCTGCGTGACTTTGGATTTACCTGCAAGCTGTACTTGGTTTAAGGTAGCGGGTATTATTTGGGTTTTATGTTCCAGCAGGATACTTTAGTGCATCAGTAAGGAATGCAAACATGCTATAATGGCATTGTGCATCCTTCCTGAACAAAGTAGCACATCTGGATGTGGGATACAGAGTCCACTGGGTTCACTGTAGGAACGTTGGCCCGTAGCCACCACAGTGAAGCCAAGGGGATCAGCCACCTGCTTAGGGTTTATCGTATAGCTAAGTCTTTATCTGGGACAAGCCTGTTTGCAGGTGACCAGTCTGTCTGCAGGTAACCAATGAAGGTAGTGCCAAACTGAGGATTATTTCGTAAGGGCATGATGGTTTTTAGCTGGGATAGCTTACGAGAAAGGGAGCTTTAAATCTGCCACTGACTCTTCAGCTTGTCCATGAAGTTTTCAGAGCTGGTTTGGGATTCAGTATTGATGTTTGCAGACCTCAGGCAGTGTAAGCTGCAGACCCTGAGGGACATTAGTTAAACACATGATACTTCCTTTAGTGCATCCTCTGTGCTACTGATAATGGTGGGAAGGCTTCTGCTGCTGGTCTAAAGGATGCTCTCTTTGCTTTCCACAGGCTGTGCTGCCCACCTGACCCAGGGAAGAAGCTGGCAGGAGAGCCATTTGCCCCCACGTTGGCTATACCTTTCGACATGTTTCCTCATACTGCTCATTGTGAGCTGGTGCTGCTGTTCACCCGCTGACAAGGAGGCAGGTATGCCAGCTCTGAGAGCTTGGGAAGCAGCCTCCTACTGTCTTGAAGACTGGAGTCGACATAGTTAGGATTTTAACTTATTTTCTGGAAAGTTGTATAAAAATAAATAATAATTTTGCTCTTACTCTTACTTTGGGTTTTTTGAGTACAGTGTTCTGTAAGGAAACACTCAGATTTCTGGGGGAAAAAAGTTCTCTTTTTCAGAAAAGCATTCTACCACCCTTCCTTTCCCTGCAAACCTCTTCTTGGGCTACTGGTTAAAGCAGCCTGGAAAATACCCTCTCCCTGATATTGGGGGTTTTAAACATTAGTGTGTGAATATGAAGTCCTAAAATCCACTGTATTTTCTAATACTGCCATGCCATTAGTTTTCTTCTTGCTTCAAGGATATTTCAAGTGGTTTTTCAAGTTGATAGTGAACTTGCTATGAAGAAACTGTAGGAATTAGAAATGCTCACGATTCTCTGGGAAAGTGTTGACATCTGGGGTCAGGGAAGTATTTCCTGTATGAACTTCCAAAACCAGTATTGAATCGCTGTCAGTCATGTGGATAAGTTGCAGGCAATGAGAAAGGTTTTTTTTTTTTTCTTTCCTATAAAACAAACTAAAGACAGAACAGATTTCAGTGTCTCTTCTTCCACACCTGCCTCCCCCTTCTCCTTTAACTCTTGCCGATTCCTAAATATGAAGTGCCCTGTGAAAATGTCAGCAGCAACAAGTTATTTCCTCATTAGGTTGCTCTGCAATAGATAATTCAAAAATTTGGTGAGTTTTATGTCTGTCCTGCCACGCTCACTGACTGGCAAGCTGTGAACCTCAATGTTATATGAAGTTCTCTCCAGCTCTTCAAAAGATGGAGCTGCTACAACCTGGAGGTAGGTCTGAGTGAGCAGAGTTCCCTTGTGTTTTGTGAAATCCACATTGTTTTGAGGGCTCCTTTTATTTTTTATTCTTTAATTTTTACTTTTATGTTGTATTGAAGTTACCTTTTGGTTTATACTGGTCATCTAGGTCAGACCAATATTTCTGCAGTCAGGTTGTTAAATTTGTCTCTTCCCTCTGAAAGAGGAGTTCCCTGTCTGATTTGGGTGAATCAAGGCTGATAAACTCCCAAGGAAGCAGGGAGAGCTGCCTGTATTTTTCAGACTTTTAACTGCAGTCCTAAGGAACGTTGAGCTTAGAGTAGTAACAACCACCACCAGTTCTCAAGCCATGGGGGCTTAAAATACATGGGTTTAGGACGTGAGACTTACTACATCAGAAAGGGAGGTGATAGGGAGATTCCTGACAGGCATAAAGTGTCACTCTTGTGCTGTCCCATGAGTGTAAGATTTTTGTACGCTGTTACCGCCTCTTGTTTTCGGTTCATGGTGGGGGATGCAGTTTTCCAGCAGTTCTGTTTGGTGTAATTATACCTTGGCTTCTCACTGCGAGATCTGGATGGATTTCTGCTTAGTCTGGCTAAGCTTTTGTCGAGAAGAAATTTGTTGCCAATTAGAAGGGGAGAGATAATGACTTTAAATCATAAAGTAACAGAGGATCAGGAAACCTTTCCACGAGTCTCTGGGGAAGTGAACATACAGGACAGGTTTTACCTGCAATGGGGGAGGGTGGCACAGTGGTCTCACTGTCCCTTTTGGGCATCAGGTTCCAGGAGAGCCACAGGGGAAAGACATCTTTTTTTGCTTTTCTGGGGCAAATATATTAAGCAATATGTTGTTTGCTGTGTGTTAGCATCCGAAACTGAAAGCTGCCTCTGTAACATGAGAGCTCCAACCACTTCTCCTCCATAGCAGGTTACTCCTCTGCTAACATGTCCTCCTTTTCCCACTAGCGAGAAACTGTGCTACGTGTGGGACTGCCACCCTGCATCCCTAGAACTGGCTCAGTTTCGCCTTTCCGTGGGTAATTTATGGAAGATGCACGGAAACAGAGGATGAGTTCGTGGCAGGAGCAGTGGGAACGTTCCGCTCACGGCTCGTGGCTCAGCAGGTGCCGGAGCTGCCGGGCATTAGGACCCGGCGGCTGCTGAGCGGAGGCGGCTGAATCCCCTCCCGCTGTCATCCCCGCTGCCTCTGCAGCTCCATTCCTCATCCCCTTCCATGGTGACTGGCTACCTCCCGCCCGGGCTGCCAGCCAGAGCCACAAGGCCTCGCTAGGACCGCTTCCCAGCAGCTCCATGGCGTCTCCCAGGACTATCACCATCATCGCCCTCTCGGTGGCCCTGGGGCTCTTCTTTGTCTTTATGGGGACCATCAAACTGACCCCCCGGCTCAGCAGAGATGCCTACAACGAGATGGTGAGTATGGCAGTCAGTGATGGCAGACACGGTGGGGTTCTCTCCCCTCAACCTTGCGGCAGAAGCGATGTTTGCAGTGGGATAGACGGAGGGTGACCGCTCTGGAGCGATGGGAGGGAGAGGGAAGAAGCTTATCTGTCTCCTTGTTTGATGGACACAGAGTGAAACAAATAATACGCAGCACTGAGGATGGATATCCTGGCAGCAGATATCCTGGCAGCCCTGGGCATATCCTGGCAGCCCTGGGCCTGGGCTCTGTCTTAGAGTATCCATGGAGAAACCTCTTGTGGATAAGGATGGGGAGGAGAGGCGAGGAGGACGGGGTAGCATGGCACACCGATGCCTGCAAAAAGATGGGGACAGAAGGATCTCTGAAAAGCAAGGTCTGAAGAAGTGCCAGACATGTACCAGGCAGGTACAGCCGATCCCTGGGAGAACACCTACCCCCTGGACTGGGGGTAGGAAAAGCAGCCGCCTGCTTGGGCAGCCAGCTGATCATCCACAAAATTCTGTGCTTTAAAGCAAGGATAATGACACTGACTGTCCCTACCTCACCAGGCTTGTGCAGGGATTAATTAATGACCCTGAAATGCTTTGAGATTCTTAGCTGGCAGAAGAAGGTATTCTTAATAGTCACCTTATTATTCTCTTTATCCTGTGAAATGAGCCTCTCCTCCTCTTGCCTTACAGGAAAGGGGTGAGGAGAGGAAGGAGAGGTCACTGTGTGTATTTCGCAGCTGCTGAGCTAGTTTGTGCTCCTCTCTGCCCAGGGCCAAGCCTGCTGCAGAGCTTTGATGGCTGCAAGCTGGTGAGGGACCGGCTGCCACGTTTCGCTTCCTTCTCTATGTTCATTTATTCTTCTGCTGCCCTGCCCCCCGTTATATTTATTGCAGTGGCTGAAAAGTGTTGGTATAATTTTTGTGCCCCCTAAAAAAATAGTGCTGGAAGTTTCCAGCACATTCTTTTATTTCCCTTTGCTCAACCTGCCCAGCTGCTTTTTCCTTAGCTCTCAAATAACATCTGAATGGCAGTGCCCCATCTGCAGCCCAGCACAGGGATCTCACAGGGAAGAATCACTAAAAAGTAACTCAGGAGCAAGAGACCGACATAAAATGCCCAGAAAACAAAGCTCTTAAGCATCTGCTACATAAGGGACAGAAAAAAAGGACCGAGACATTAGAAGCATTGCAAAATCCTTGCTCTGTAGAATATTTTGCTTCTCTCTCTCTGCTTTACCAAGAGTCAGGCCTACAGATAGGAACGAGCTCTGGTTTTACGAAGAGAAAGCAGAGGCACTCGGATATTATGCAGGATGTTTTAATAGCCCCCATTGTAACATGTTCATGGCTCATTAGGCTTTCACCCTTTTGCTGTGCTGCATACCAGGGTGAGTATGTATCGGAGACAGTGAAAACCTGGTCTTGCCAATCAATAAGCATGGCTTCTTTCCCTGAGCAAATAAAGAACATCTGTTATCTACCTACAACACCAAATTAGCAGTTTTTCATTCAGCAAAAAAACAGACACAGTAGTTTGTCTATTAAAATACTTAAAATACCAGAGTACTCTAAGACGTGCTGATAGTACATTTCTTTATGTAGCTGTATTTTTCACAATGGTTTAAAAATACTCTGCTCTGAGGAGAGGTTTTATTAATTGAAGGCTTAAAATGCATCCTTACAATGCATACACTTAAGAGTAAATGTGTCATGACATCTTCAATTATTTAGTAGCAAAAATTAAAATACTATATATTTTTTAACCACATGTGAAATGTCAGATCCTCTTAAAAAGAAGCAGCAAAATTTAAGGAGAAGTGGAGAAGTTCTGTGTGCCTGTAGTGCAGGTTTCCAAAATTACATGTAAGTAAATCTACAATCTGATCAGCGCCTGTAAGAGCTGAGCAACTCATGTACCTGAGATTTGTCTTCTATTTCCCTCTCCCTGATTACAAAGCAGAGAACACAACGGCAAGATATCTGCAGGGAGAGTATATTCAAGTGTAAGTGGAAATAATTTCTATGTTTCCAGTAACAACTGCGAGCTTTATTAAAATACATTAAAAAAGGAAACACTTGATTGAAAAACAAATAAACAAAACCAATAAGCTCACAAGCACCTAATGCTCAAATGCAAGAACTTGAACATGTGTAAGGACAGAGGTTTTTTCTTCCCTGAAACAATGAGGCAGCCATGTAAGGAGGCCGAGTCTCACTACTTACACTGCATCTCAATCCAGCATAAACCAGGGAGCAAAGGATGTCCAATGTCAGCTTGCTTTCATCTGCAGAAAGGAAGGATCATAAAGCTATGTAAGCACAGGACAGGGCTGGTGAATCTCAGCTCTGATGTATAGATATATATAATTTGCTAAGATTGTACTGCCCATAAACACTGGGATATTCTAAGTTACTTTGAGGTAGAAAGACCTCTGTTTTTATTTGCTGTGCCTTCACTTTGCAGGGACTAGGTGTGTGGTTTCATTACAAAGGATGAGCTACTCAGAGAGAGAGGTACTTTTTTAACAACGTGGTTCTGCACTGCTAATTCTAGCAATTGTATTTTCAGATTTCAGGAGAAGGTACACCTGAGCTGGCCCTAGCTCCAAAGATGGGTGCTAGGTTGCAGGACTGTTTTCCAGCGAGGAGACAACAGCTTATACAGGGGGAATTGCAGGTTGATGGTGTTAATATCCCTCCAGCAGGAGCTTTAGGGGTACAGATTGGATATTGTACCAGAGGGGTCTGTGATGACTGAAGTGATCTTTAGGTCATATTGCACATCAGTCTATTTCAATGATAGTCACCTTTGCATTTACTTTCTCACATTATGTGTTGTACAATATTACCGCTTGATTTCAGAAACGAGCATACAAAAGCTACGTGCGGGCTCTCCCCATGCTAAAGAAGATGGGAGTCAGCTCCATCCTTCTCCGCAAGAGCATTGGTTCCCTAGAAGTGGCGTGTGGTATTGTCATGACACTGGTGCCTGGTCGCCCCAAAGATGTGGCCAACTTTCTCCTCCTCCTCCTCGTGCTGGCTGTGCTCTTTTTCCACCAGCTAGTGGGGGATCCACTCAAGCGTTACGCCCATGCTTTAGTCTTTGGGATCCTGCTTACCTGTCGTCTGCTGATTGCCCGCCAGCCTGAGGAGCAGCTGCCAGAAAAGAGGATCCTGTCAGTGAATGGGGATGAGCAGCCGCTCATCCATGAAGCAGCTCCTGAGAAAGGCAAAATGAAGGTATCCTAGTTGAGTGCGTGTGAGAAATAACGGACCCTCGAGGCAGCTCTCTCCGAAATCACCCAGAAAATTTGGTTTTTATTGACCTATTTATATTTTTTTGTCTATCTAAATAAAGTTGCACTTGGGGTCTGAGAGGCACGTGGTATGTCTACACTGTAGTCTTGCTTTTGCTGCTGCCCTGTAATGTAGAAAAACACAAGCTAGCTTTTACCAGGACAGCTTGGAGGCAGTTAGCAGCCTGGCTGGAGTAGCGCTGGCCTCATCAGGAGCTGCAAAACCAGCCTGAGAGCACAGGCAAAGACTTGGGCTGGTAGTTACATTCACTTGTCACTGCTGAAATCTGGCCTGGATGCAGTTCTGCTGCGCAGCAGTCTCAGCAACAGCAGCTGGTAGAACATAACCAGTGTCCCTGTGCAGGCTTGTGCGACCCCACCCACAAATCTGTGTCTCCTTCTCCATAACGAAGGGGGGAAAGGACCCTACTGAGCATAAAAGTGCTGTTTGTTGTGTTTGAGAGAGGGATCCGTTGGCCTTTGCTGCCTCTGTCCGCAGTCCATCCCTTGGACTGGTTATCCAGGGAAAACATGGGATGTGCTGTTTGCATCTTCCTCAATTTCCACACTTTGCAGAGGCTCTAAAACTGGTAACAGTAATTTTTTGTGCTTCATACAATGGCATCTCTTTACCCCTCTTGGCAGAGAGTAAGGATCCCTGGTGAGGGGATGGGGAGCAGAACTGCCCAAAGAACTCCAAAATACCTGTGTGCTGTTGGCAAATAGCATCATGCTCCCTATTCCCTTGCAAGAAAAAAACATCCCTTTTCCCACAACTACTGCAACTTTATAGAATTGTTGTTTGTTGCTGATAGATGAGGGTCAAATGTGTCTGGGTACCTCACTGTTCATCCCACATCCAGCTTTGGTGGGCTGGGGAAAGTCCTGTCACCAAAGCCTGAATCCCCGTGTGTTGTATCTGAAATCTTACAGAGTGTGTCATAAGAAACATGTGTTACCTCTGAGTTTGTTTTTCTTGATGTTTGTCTGTTTTCAGTTTTTCCTTATTTTCTTAATTATTCATGAAAATAAACTTTTTGAAATTTGGAGAAAAATGTCTTGACAGAAACAAATTTATTTTTTGAGAGACCTATCTGAAAATATTCTTCCTGTGCTCAAACACTGCATTTAAAATGGGCAGAATCATGTCAGGGGAATTCCAGAGAAAGACAAGGCGATGCAGGACAGAAGCCACCTGAATGCTCCTGGGCTATATATTAATAACCACAGGCATTTAAAAGAGATGTTTGAACATTTTAATGAAAGTCTCAGGTAAATTTCTGCTTCAGTAGTACAATATGGCAGCGAGAAAAGATATTAAAACTCCAGTAAAATGTCAGTATTATATCTCTATAAAAACTGATGATAGATGTTCATATGCAGTACATCCACTTTTCTTATGTTTGCTGCTGAAATAGATACAGCCCCAAACATATATATGCTGAAAAATCCTCCTCCTAGAGCCCCAAAGAGTGACTATATATTATCAGATATATATTCTCATAGTATATATCTGATAATATATATTCCAACTATATATTATCAGTGTATATATTATCAGATATACAAAGGAAACTACCCATAGCCCACCTTTGTTAGACAATCTCTCATCGTTACAGGCTACCTCAAGGTCATCCCCAATGTATATAGAATTTGCTTTACTTCCTGAAAGACACTTCATCTACCATGCTCTGACTGGAGTTATTAATCGCTCTTTAATTGAAAAACAAGTAAAAATACCTCCAACTCCAAACCACACCATGTGTATCCCTACAGAAAACGCTCACAACTGAATTGGCACAACCTTTTGGGCAGCTGCCCCTCACACGTGCACCTAACTCAGTAAACTTCTGGAAACAAGTTGTTTTGACTTCTGTAACGTTCCTTCACTGAAAATTGTACAGATGGCCTAATAAATGTAAAACATTCCGCATGGCAAAGCTTATCCCTGCAGGAAATCTACGTGAATTCTGCAAAACATCCTCCTCTGTTCACATCTGCAGCAGTACTAATTACGGATCTGCAGTAGCACCCACGTGTTCTTTATCACAGAGGAAGACAAGACTCTTCTTGGAGCCCTGTCTGTATTGACACCATATACAGGTGACACTATATACACTGCTGGCTCCCACCATTAGCAAACGATTTCTGGAAGCTCCCAGTCATCTTTGTTTGCTAGAGGTGACAAGGTGCCAACAACTCAATTAGTCCTTTTTTAAGACCACGATGCTAATTTACTATTTTTTTTCCCCCTTTTCTTTCTTCATTTTATCTCCAATAAATAATTTATCTCCAATAATTAATTCCATCATTCCATTCCCGTCAGTCTCATCCAGCTGCTGCCACGACCGGCCCCTTCCAGCCCCGGGGCTTCCGCAGCTGCAGCGCTCCGCAGAGGCTGGGGTTCCTCAGAGCTGAGGTGCCCGCACCACGGCCTGTCCGGCCTGCCCGAGGGCTCTCACCGCAA